AAGTGTTTTGTATCTAATTGGATTGAAAAATCAATTAGCATAAGTTTCTCATATTAGAATTGTTTATCACTAAATATAAATTTATGTATCGCACCGTGCATCGCACGGGTGAAAGACTACTTATGATTGTTGTTGAATTTCTAGATCCATCTAGTCTCTATTTATGGAGATAAAGATGTTCCAATCCTATAGAATAATAATTTCAATTTCAAATGGGAGTCTTGAATAAAATCCAAGTAGGAGTTTTAATTAAAATCCAAATCTAATTTGTTTACATTTAATTACATGTGTAGTCCTAAAACTTCAATTACGATTATAATTAAGTTTAGAACTATCATAATAATTATAATTAAATACAAAATATTATCATAATTATAATTAAATCCAAAACTATTACAATCACCATAATTAAGTCTCAATACTACATAGAGCTACCACATGGACCCAATCGGACATATATTATCCAATCTCCAATAATTAGACCATGTCTAGTTGACTCTAGACCATCAAATCTAATTAGTAGTCTTTACTTCTTCTACTAAAGGCAAAAATTTGCACTTTTGGAATATATAAGATTACAAAAGCCAATAAATCTGTAATATTTGCCTCTGATATGCCGTATATGTATTTTTTCCTTATCCGAAATTCGATAATTAGGTATGAGCATAAATGATCGTTTTGGCCCTTCTAATTATTCTCACTAATTTAAGTATCACTTTCTTCAATTATCTTGTGAACAAATCATAGATGTCGAAATTTAGCCGTCGCTAAACACTGAGCTCAAATTTTAACCGTTTAACAAAAAATACTTAAGTAATAACTCTACCAATTTTTTATGGCGGCAGTTCCTGACAAGAATTCATGTTCTCTATTTCGCTCATTCTCAAGTTCTTGACTCACCGAGATATTTGACCTATCAAATTGATCTCGCTCATTGGTGAATCAAAGAACCATTGAAATCACGAAAAAATATGAATAACTATGTCATGGAATTTAGATGAAATATACTGCGATCAAGTGATTCCAAAATTTTGTAGGTCACAATTTGTTCATCGATCACAAATAAAAAATTAAAACGTCACAAATTATTGTATGGTTACAATTCAAAAATTTTGTACGTCATAATTTGTTTATCGATCACAAATCAGAAATTTGTAAGTCATATTTTATTAATTGGTCACAAATCACAAATTTCATATATCACAAATTATTTTACGATCACAATTTAAAAATTTTATAGGTCACAATTTGTTTATCGATCACAAATCAAAAATTAAAATATCGCAATTTATTTATATGTCACAAATATTATACGTCACAACTCAATAGACAGTTACAAATTGTCAAATTATCCGTCACAATTAACTATTTTTTAGGTAACACTTTTTTTTTTGTCACAATTTATCTTTTTCACTGGTCACATATTCTTTATTGATCATAGATTAACCAATTCAATTGTCATGAACGACTAACCACCACCTCATCACTCCCTCCAGCAGCACCACTGCCATGGTTGCCGCTGGAACCAGCACACTACCACCCCCTTCGACAGCACCACCACCTCAAGCAAATCTCCACATCGTAGAAAACATCGTCACATTCTCGATACCAACGCCACCACACG